AGGAAGAGAGAGAACAAGGGAATCTGTGGCTATTATGTAGAACTGAATAGTATTGTAAAATAAAAAATAAATAAAAAAAATTAAAAAAAAAACTAAAAAAAAAAGATATAAGAACCAATAGCAAGCACCCTGCTATGGCGATACAGTTTATAAGTAAGATGAGTCTCTGTGTGTTTACTTGGGGGACATAAATGGGAGAGATTTGTCCTGACGGCCAGCAGGTCAGGACACAAGAAAACTTCAGCTACAGGTTGAGGGGGTGCAATAGAGGGGATGGAAGGGGGGATGAGAACATGAGGGAATGGGATGGTCAAGCTGGAACAGGAACGGAGTGGGAGAGCAATGAAAGAGATACCTTGATAGAGGGAGACATTATGAGTTTAGGGAGAAAACTGGTGCTAGAGAAATTCCCAGGACTCCACAAGGATGACCTCAGCTTAGACTACTAGCAATAGTAGAGAGGGTGCCTGTGCTGGCCTACCACCCAGTAATCAGACCAGTGAATAATACCCTAACTGTCATCATAGAACCCTCATTCAGTAACTGATGGAAGCAGATGTAGGGATCCACAGCAAAGCACCAGGCCGAGCTCCTGGAGTCCAGTTGAGGAGAGGGAGGATGGATTGTATGAGCAAGGGGGGGGGTCAAGATCATGATGGGGAAATCTACAAAGACAACTAAACCAAGCTCATGGGAACTCAGAAACTATAGACCAACAACTGTGGAGCCTACAGGGGATCAGACTAGGCCCTCTGCATGTAGGAGACAGCTGTGTGGCTTGGTCTTGTAACATGAATTGCTAAATGGTCTTATTAATTAAAAAAACCAAAACCCTGGAGCCAGATATTGGGATGAAAGCTGAAAGATCAGAGAAACAGAACAAGCCACAGCCAATGTCACCTTACCAACTGGTCAGCCTCAAGAGAGACTTCCTGTTTACTCACACCTTATATACATTTCTGTGTCCTGCCCTCTTCCTTCCTTCCTAGTGCTGGGATTAAAGTTGTGTGTCCTTCCCAAATACTTGGTAGCAAAGGCATGAGATCTCAAATGCTGGGATTAAAGGCATGTGCCACCACACCTGGCTCTGTTTCCAGTGTGGCCTTGAACTCACAGAGATCCATGCCTCCCAAGTGATAGGATAAAGGGTGTGTACCACCACTGTCTGGCCTCTATGTCTAATCTAGTGGCTGGCTCTGTCCTCTGATCCCCAGATAAGTTTATTAGGGTACACAATATATTGGGGTACATACAATATCACCACATGGTCTATTTGAGAGACCCCTGGCAGTGGGATCAGGATCTATCCCTGGTGCGTGAGTTAGCTTTTTGGAGCCCATTCCCTATGGTGGGATGCCTTGTTCAGCCTTATGCAGGGGGTGGGGGGGTTGGTCCTGCCTCAAATGAATGTACCAGGCTTTGCTGATGCCTCATGGGATGCCTTTCCCTTTCGGAGGAGGGGATGAGGGGTGGATCAAGGTGGGAGAGGACTGGGGGAAGAGTAGGAGGAGGGATGAGAGGGGGATCTGTGGTTGGTATGTAAAATGAATAAAAAATTTCTTAAAGAAATAAAAAAGAAAGGCAGATTATATGGTCTCTGTTTTAGCTACATAACTGCCATTGTAGTTATAGATGCTATGTAAATGAGTGGGTATGACTGTGTTGCAAAATAAGATCTTTTAATGGATACTTCAATTTGAATTTTATAATTTTAACATGTCATGAAACTTTTTTAAAGTCATTTAAAAATGAAAAAGATGGACTAGTGAGATGCCTCTGTAACACAAATCTTAAAAAGTCTTATTAATAGCAAACCAGAACCAGATATTGGGGTGATAGCTGAGAGATCAGAGAGACAGAGCAAGCCACAGCCAACTTCACCTCACCAACTCCTCAGCTAATCCTGTTTCCTTAAACTGGAAGCCTCTGAGTCCTCATCCAAATGGATCTCAGTTGAATTGCTGCTAAAAAACCTAAAAGCTTAAAAAGCCTAAAGGCCTCTAGTTCCTGGTCCTCATGCCTTATATGCCTTTCTGCTTTTTGCCATCACTCCCTGGGATTAAAGGTGTGTGCCACCACACCTGGCTCTGTTTGTAGTGTGGCCTTGAACTCACCGAGATCCAGATGGATCTCTGCCTCTAGAATGCTAGGATTAAAGGCATGTGCTACCATTGCCTGACTTCTATGTTTAATATAGTGGCTGGATTTTTCCTCTGATCCTCAGATAAGCTTTATTAGGATGCACAATATATTGGGGAACACAATATATCACCACATGTTTCAGTGAGTAAAATTGTTTGCCATTAATGTTGATGACTTGAATTTGATCTACATATCAGGAGAGAAAAGACTTATGTAGACTGTCTTCTGACTTCTATATGTGCACACAGACATGTGCATGCACATACACGCATACATAAATAAGGATAATAAATTTTTTAAATGGAAAAGTTAACTATTTGGGAAGAGGAAGCTGACTGGAAAGTGGGAAGAGGAGTATCAGAGGGTAAGAGGTGGCAGTGATTAGAATCAAAGTATATTATATTCAAATAGGAAAACAAAAATGTCACAATGAAATTTATACTTTTAGATAATATACACTAAAAATGAAATATTATTCTTAACTCACATATGAAAATAGTTAATGGGCCTATAGACAATGATCTGCAAATTCTTATTCTAGAATAATGTGTGAGAATTTTCTATAGACTCTATTCAAGCTTTACTACCACTGTTCAGAAGAAAGTGTAGCTTCCTACTATGCACAGTAGAATGAACCCATGGGAGCAGTAGGGAGGATATTTCAGGAGTTAATGTCATTGCCCAGGTAAGAAATAAAAGTGCCTGAATTAAGATGGTCACAGTGGGAAATGGAAAGGGTACAGACTTGAGAGAAATCTACTGAGCAGAAGTAGGGAAAACATGGAGAAGGCTTAAGAGATGACTTAGCAGTTAAGAGCACTTGCTGCTCTTCCAGATGAGCCAGGTTCAATTCCCAGCACCCACAAGGCAGCTCACAACCACCTGTAACTCCAGTTCCAGGGAATTCTATGCCATTATCTGGCCTCTGCGGGCACCAGGCATGCCAGTGGTGCACAGGTGTATATGCAGGGAAATTATATATATAATTTTAAAATAATGTAAAAAAGAGAGAAAAGCATGGAAGGAAGTAGATTGGTTACTTGAAACTCTCCAACAGAAATGAAAAAAAATCAGCTCAGATTCTTATAGCAAGAATAACAGTATTTACCATAGTGTCCAGAAGCTGTAATCTGAAAATCCCTGATGCTTCCAGAAGCCATTCCCAGGGGAATCTGACACCCTGAAATCAAACATAGACGCTAGAAATGACACAGAACCCATGAAAACAAGGATAAACTATAATATTTAGGTAGGTGGTGGTTCTTTTACTTGTTTAAAGTTATATCCCCAAACTCTTCCATGTGAAGTTTGTAAGTTATCTTTGGTTAACTGAATTAAAATTAAGTCCCAAAATCTACTACTGTGAAATTGAAGACTGTTTAACCACCACTTTGTTAAATACCACAGATCCATATTCAAAGGGTCCAAAGCTTCTATCTCCTCCGAGGACTCTGATGGTTTCTACCAGCAACATTCATTTTAAATTTAATAATAATATAAGCTTGTATTTATTTCCTGATAAAGACAACCACTTCAAGCAGGAGGAAAGTTGTGTAGAAATAGACGGACTAGTTTGTGAGCTTCTACCCACAGTTACTCACACTTGTTGTATACTAGAAAAAGAGTGCTCATTCCAGCCTGTAAGTGCTTGCCAATAAGACATTCTACTCGCCAAATTCCAGCTCTGGATGGTAGCATTTCCACTGTCTCAAAAACTCCTTTTAAAATCAAAAGGAACAAAAATTATTTTTCATTAAAAATGAGTATGAAATACATTGGCTTATTTATAATATGTGTCATCACAATGAGCTACCAAATTCAGCTCCATCATTCTCAGACATCTCAAGTGCATCTTTGCTCTGAAAAATTCATGGGAGCACTTCACCAACTGGTCCACATCTCCAAGGCCCCTCTCTGCAATCACAGGAATGGCTTTCCCAATGTTGCATCCTGGCTGGAAAATGCCTCCATTGGGATAAATGTCAACATGTCCTACTAGTTTCTGGATCTCAATACTTCAGCCAGGTGACCCTCTGGTGAATGTGTGTAAGACATCCACGAAGTCTGCATCATCAGAAAAAAGGCGACTGGGGACCTCTGTATACTCAAAGTTAGGCCTGGCTGGATCCAAGCCAGTGATTCTGTTACCTTCTTGTTGGTCAGACTTCCTGCCACCCCAGCAGCGAGGGCTCTGAGGCTATACCCCAACAGGTGGACATTGTCCATGGGGTAGTTAAATTCTTCCTCCATCCAGTTGATGAACCTGGCCACATCATTTCCCACCAGCTTGGTGTAGCCAGCAGACACTGGATAATGTTGCTGGGCCCGATATAGCCAGTCCACTACAATAATGTTGGAGTCAGGTTCTCTCTTGCACAGGGTGGCCACAAGTTTGGGCACCCAACTCTCATACATTCCTGTCACAATCCAGCCATAGATCACCATGAAGGTCTTGCTGCTGTGCTTGAAGTGGCAGTCAGACTCGATTCCTCCTCCTTCTCCCAGGAATTCTGCCCCTTCCAGCTGCCCTGCCCTCCCCCTTTAAAGGCTGACTTGCCCTGTGGAGCTCTACTGTGCTCCAGCCCTCTGGGGCCTCTTGCTCAATCCTTTGCTACTTGGATCGACTCCCTCCTGCTAGCCCGCACCCCGCATTTCCTGCAGCAGAAGGATGCACCAGGAGATGGAGAGCAAAGCCCTGCTCCTGGTGGCCCTGGGAGTGTGCCTTCCATGGAGGGGTGGCTGCAGCAGACAAGGGAAGAGATTTTGCAGACACTGAAAGTAAATTTGCCCTAAGGACCCCTGAAGACACAGCTGAGGACACTTGTCATCTCATTCCTGGAGTAGCAGAATCTGAGTCTGACCTGATGTCGCAGATTTCGTGGATGTCTTACACACATTCACCAGAGGGTCAGCTGGCTGAAGTACTGGGATCCAGAAACCAGTAGGACATGTTGACATTTATCCCAATGGAGGCACTTTCCAGCCAGGATGCAACATTGGGAAAGCCATTCCTGTGATTGCAGAGAGGGGCCTTGGAGATGTGGACCAGTTGGTGACGTGCTCCCATGAACACCCAAGTCCTCTGCAAGAATACTAGCACTCTTAACCACTGAGCTATCTGTCCAGCTTCTCTCCTCCCTCCAACTTCCTACAACTTGAGATCCCTTTACCTAGTACCGTGGATCCAAGATGATCTTACTATGATTTCTCTTCCCCTTAAAGGTTACATATGGCCAATAGTAAAGACACATATAGGATTTTTTGATATAGAAATATAGGATATAGATATGATAGGATGAAAGGGGAGATTATTGAATCTACTTTTAAAGAGCAACAACTTGTTTAAAATGTTTTACATTGCTATAGATTTTAGTTTATTGATACAAATTTAAAGTTAATTTTGTTATGCTGTATGTATATTTCTACTCTTGTTTAAGGTATTATGTTTGTGCAGCTCATTTAAATTGTAATGGATAATTAAAAAATACAGATTAATAGTTAATCATCTATGACAGTCAAACTTACAGTCATGTTAGTTTAGTTTTCTAGGTATACGTACATACACTTCAGATAGATAAGTAATCTTCAAACCCTTCAAAGACCTACATAATATGGCATTTAAAATGTTTTAAAAACTTAGACTTTCTGGACAATGAGACACATCTGCTCATGGCAGCACCGATTTTCTTCAAAGAGAAAGATGGGTGTTCATGGGAGCACGTCACCAACTGGTCCACATCTCCAAGGCCCCTCTCTGCAATCACAGGAATGGCTTTCCCAATGTTGCATCCTGGCTGGAAAGTGCCTCCATTGGGATAAATGTCAACATGTCCTACTGGTTTCTGGATCCCAGTACTTCAGCCAGCTGACCCTCTGGTGAATGTGTGTAAGACATCCACGAAATCTGCGACATCAGGTCAGACTCAGATTCTGCTACTCCAGGAATGAGATGACAAGTGTCCTCAGCTGTGTCTTCAGGGGTCCTTAGGGCAAATTTACTTTCAGTGTCTGCAAAATCTCTTCCCTTGTCTGCTGCAGCCACCCCTCCATGGAAGGCACACTCCCAGGGCCACCAGGAGCAGGGCTTTGCTCTCCATCTCCTGGTGCATCCTTCTGCTGCAGGAAATGCGGGGTGCGGGCTAGCAGGAGGGAGTCGATCCAAGTAGCAAGGGATTGAGCAAGAGGCCCCAGAGGGCTGGAGCACAGTAGAGCTCCACAGGGCAAGTCAGCCTTTAAAGGGGGAGGGCAGGGCAGCTGGAAGGGGCAGAATTCCTGGGAGAAGGAGGAGGAATCGAGTCTGACTGCCACTTCAAGCACAGCAGCAAGACCTTCATGGTGATCTATGGCTGGATTGTGACAGGAATGTATGAGAGTTGGGTGCCCAAACTTGTGGCCACCCTGTGCAAGAGAGAACCTGACTCCAACATTATTGTAGTGGACTGGCTATATCGGGCCCAGCAACATTAACTATGTCAGGTGGCCCACAACTACCTGCAATTACAGTTCCAGGGGTTCTGATGACCTCTTCTGGTCTTCGTGGGCACCAGGCATGTATATGTGCATACCAACAGAGACACAGACACAGACACAGACACACACCCACACACACAGACATACACAAATATACTGTTTAAAAATAAAATTGTATTTTGATCAACACTTTAATTTTTTTAGTATTCAATGTGATATCATTAAATTCTTATATATATATTTTTTTCAATTTTATAATTAATTTAATTTTTCATATCAGCCACAGATTCCCCTGCCCTCCCTCCTCCCACCCCACCGCCCTCCCCCCAACCAAACCCCCCATTCCCATTTCCTCCAGGGCAAGGACTCCCATGGGGATTCAGCTCAGCCTGGTAGATTCAGTTGAGGCAAGTCCAGTCCCCTCCTCCCTTCACCAGGCTGAGCAAAGTGCCCCTGCATAGGCCCCAGGCTCCAACCAGCCAGCTCATGCACTAAGGACAGGTCCCAGTCCCACTGCCTGGGTGCCTCCCAAACAGTTCAAGCTAATCAACTGTCTTACTTATCCAGAGGGCCTGATCCAGAAAGTTCTAGAGAGGTCCCCAGAAATCCACAAAGATACCTCCACAATAGACTACTGGCAATGGTCGAGAGAAAACCTGAACTGACCGACTCTGGTGATGGGATGTCCAAACACCCTAACTGTCATGATAGAACTCTCATCCAATGACTGATGGAAGCTGATGCAGAGATCTATGGCCAGGCCCCAGGTGGAGCTCTGGGAGTCCAATCAGCAAGAGAAAGGATGGATTGTATGAGCGAGAGATGTTGAGACCATGATTGGAAAAAGCACAGGGACAAATAGCCAAACTAGTGGAAACACATGAACTATGAACCAATAGCTGAGGAGCCCCCATGGATCAACACTTTAATTAGTGCCTCACCAATATATTGGTTACATACATAAACAAATCAGTCTTGATAACTACTAGAATTTGAGGGGAAAAATGATAAAAGATTCTTAGGAAAGTACTATATGGTACTTATTCATTTCTAGGAGTTTTTATATACCTAAAATTATCTTGTTCATTTGCTAATTTATTTCTCTCTGTGTACAGGATAAAATTACTTGAAAAAGTAAGGGATTGGGCTGGAGAGATGGCTCAGCACGTAAGCACACTGGCTGCTCTTCCAGAGGTCCTGAGTTCAATTCCCAGCAACCACATGGCATCTCACAACCATCTATAATGGGATCTGATGCCCTCTTCTGGAGTGCAGGTATACATGCAGACAGAGTACTCATATACATAAAGTACATAAATAAATCTTTTTCTTTAAAAAAAGTAAGGGATTTCAGAAAGGAGCTTCTCTGCTTTGTTATTGATTCTATCGTCAGTACTAAGACCATTTAAAGTAAGTATTCAATACATACAGTAGGTAGAAAAAAAAACTATCTCATACCTGGGTAGAGGTTGTACACTGCCATTTTGTACTCCTCTTTTTTCCGTAGAGTGAACACATGTCCACTGAAATGAATAGACTGGATGTTCTCATTGCTGCCCATGCTGAGAAGATACCAACGAATTCTTTGATCTTGAGCCATTACTAAGCCTGGTAGGGTATCCATCACATAACCATTGATTGCTGGAGAAGAACAAAGAGAAAATTATCAAAATGTATCACCAAAGTTTCCTTCCTTTTTATCAACAGAAAATCCTGATATCCATCAGGATTTCACTTCTCATTACTGTTCAAATATCTGGCTCAAAGATCATTTGAAAAAGTACACACTATATTTCATAAAGAATAATATTTATGTATCGATTATGTTACCATGGAAGCGATAATTATTTTTCAAAGTGGGGTCTTCTATCTGGATATTGCAGGGTTTCTTGCAGTTCCTTTCCACATTTTCAGTAAAGTACCAGCTCTTGGTCTCATCAAAGATAGTGAAAAACAGAGCAAATTCCTGTACTGACACTTGTCTTCCATGAGCAGGATTCAGTGTGTTCGTGTGGCAAATCAGAAGGGGTCCAATCAATCCTGAGTGCATATCTCTTTCCTAGAGTTCCCAGGAGGACATTAATTGTATTAGTGTAAGTTCTCTCTTATCAACTTGTATGCCAAAATAGCATTTATTCTCTGCAATGGATTCCAGAGTGATATTTCTTTTTTTTTTTTTTTTTGGTTTTTCGAGACAGGGTTTCTCTGTGTAGCTTTGCGCCTTTCCTGGAGCTCACTTGGTAGCCCAGGCTGGCCTCGAACTCACAGAGATCCGCCTGCCTCTGCCTCCCGAGTGCTGGGATTAAAGGCGTGCGCCACCAACGCCCGGCCAGAGTGATATTTCTAACACAGAAAAATGACATCACTTCCCTCACTTTAAAACTTCTCATTGTGCTTAGGATAAATAACAAAATTCTTAGCATAGAAGATAAAAACCAGGCTGGAAAATGGTTCAGTGGTTAAGAGCACTGGCTATTCTTCCAGAAAATCTGGGTTCTATTCCCAGCACTCACATGGCAGCTCACAACCATTTCTAACTCCAGTTCCAAGGACTCCAAAGCTTTCTTCTGACCTCCAGAAGCACCAAGCATGCACATGATGCACAGATATGCACACAGGCAAAACACCCATATCCATAAAAAAGATAAAAGCCATTTCTTTTAAGTGATAATATGACTATCCCAATAAAGAGCCACTTACAAGATCAACATCAGAGAAATAAGCCCAGGCCTTGCAGTCAAACTCATCTTCTGTGGGTGCCATATGATGTTGTACTTTCCAAAAATAAATTTTTGTTTCATTAGGCTTGACAAAGTTTCTTCTAGGTTCTTCTCCTTGTCTCTGATTTTCCTTATAAGAAATAAGGCTAGAATAGAAGGAGTAGGGGCGAGAGGCCTGGTTTTTGAAAGTTACCTGAAGAGGAAAAAAAAAAAAAACTCAGAAAGAAATTTTTTTTAGAATAATAAAATCCTAAAGAGTTATAAAGTTTTATATTTGTTTCCCTCTATCTTTTGGTCTTTATTCAATTTTTATTACCTTAGACTTTAAGAAGAAAGTTACGAGAAAAATTTAAATTCTAATTTTATAATATAAAAATTATGAAGGAGAAAATTTTTAAGCACTTAAAAGTAATTCAAAAGTAGGGGCTGGAGAGATGGCTCAGCGGTTAGGAGCACTGGCTGCTCTTCCAGAGGTCTTGAGTTCAATTCCCAGCAACCACATGGTGGCTCACAACCATCTGTAATGAGATCTGGTGCCCTCTTCTGGCCTGCAGGCATACATGCAGGCAGAACACTGTATACATAATAAATAAATCTTAAAAAAAAAAAACTATAAAAAAAAAGTAATTCAAAAGTAAACAGAAAATGTCACTATAACTTCAGAAGTGACTACTTAAGATTTGCCATAACAGATACCAAGATGGATGTGTATTATTTTTTAAAAATTTTATTTATTTTAAACAGTTCTTTGAGATTTCCAAACAACGTATTTTGATTATATTTACCTCCATTTTTCTTCCAGATCAAACCCTACATCCTTACTCCCCAAATTTGTGTCTTCTTTAAAAAAATATGCTTTTTAAATTTAAAAACCTATGCATATTTATCATAGAACACATGCAAAGTAAAATAAATTCCAAGTCAGAAAGAAACGTATCTACAATCCCATAGCTTTAGATGCTTCTATATCTTTACTATCAGCCAGCTGGGAAAATAAATGGAATAAAAAACTTTGATCTTTTTCTTAAAGTGCACCAAAAATTACTCACAATTTTACAGGAGTTATTGAGAGATGGTTAAATAATTGAATATAAAAATGAATCTATAAAAAAAATATTTAAAACTCTTCTGGGTAGAGAGAAATTTTTGTGAATATAAAAACAATGAAAATGTCAAAGAGGAAAGTTTTATGAGTTGCTATCTAAAAAACTTATTTTAAAAAAATCATATGAAGTTAAGAGACAGTAAACTTAGGAAAATATTTTCAATTAAAATTATTACTGGTCAGTATCTAATATGTAAGGTAATATTAATAAAATTATCTCCTCCCAAAAGACAAATTTATAGAGGACATTAACAGAGAATTCATAGTTCCTGTATAGTACAGTTCTAGAGTTCTATCCTAGGAAAAGGAAAACAATTATTTATAAATAGAAAAAAACAAAGCTGGGTGTGGTGGTTTGAATAGGAATGGCCCCTATAGACTCATGTGTCTGAGTGCTTGGCCCATAGCGGATGGCATTATTAGGGGTTGTGGCCTTGATGAAGGAAGTGTGTCACTGTGGAGGTGGGCACTGAGGTCTCATATGCTCAAGCTAGGGTTAGTATGTCAGTCTCCTTCTGCTGTCTATGGATCATGATGTAGCTAGCACCCACAGCTTCTACTCCAGCACCATGTGTGCCTGTATACTGCCATGTTTCCCACCATGATGATAATGGACTAAACCTCTGAAACTGTAAGCCAGCCCCAATTAAATTTTTTTTAAAATATTTATTTATTCGTTTATTAATAGATAAATGTTCTGCCTGTATATATCCCTGCAAGCCAGTAGAGGGCACCAGAACTCATTACAGGTGGTTGTGAGCCACCATGTGGTTGCTTGGAATTGAACTCTGGACCTTTGGAAGAACAGCCAGTGTTCTTAACCTCTGAGCCATCTCTCCAGCCCTAAATGTTTTCATTTATAAGAGTTGCTGTGTTTGTGGTTGTACAAGGTATAGTTAAATCATGTTAGGCATAATTATGATCTTGTTAAATATATAATACATTTGCAGTTGTATGTGGGATAGTGATGTTTAGGCATTATGACCTGGTTATTGTTTTCATTTGGAAATTAATCATTACATAAGGAGATATGATTGTGTGTCAAGTTGACAAGGTGTGGACTTGTGATGGCTATTCTTGGTTGTTAACTTGAATATATCTAGAATGAACTACAGTCCAAAAATGGAGGGCACACCTTTGATCTGGATCATGAGGTGGGAGGATAACACACCTTTGATCCAGATCTTGAGGCTGGAAGACATGCCTTTAATCTGGGTCACACCTTCTGCTAGAAGCCTATATAAGGACATGGAAGAAGGAATGTTTGGTTCTTTGTCTGCTTGCCCTCGCCTTGTCAGCACATTCATTCCTTCATTGGCATTGGAGCATACCTCTTTGTGATTCCAGCATATACAGACCAGCTGAGACACTCAGCCTTGTAGGACTAAGCAACTACTAGATTCTTGGATTTTCCATTCACAGTTAACCATTGTTGGATTTGTTGGACTGCAGTTTTAAGTTATTCCAATAAATTCCCTTTATATATAAATTTATATATTCATTCCATAAGTTCTGTGACTCTAGAGAACCTTGACTAATACACTGGGTATGATGGCATTCACTTTTCATCATAATGTTCAAAAGGCAGAGACAGGAGGATCTCTGTGAGTCTGGGGCCAGACAAGTCTACCTAGTGAGTTTCAGGTCAGCCAAGGTGTGGTTGTTCGAATAAAAATGGCCACCATAGTTCCACAGGAAGTGGAACTATTAGGAGTTGTGGCCTTGTTGGGGTAGGTGTGGCTTTGTTGGAGGAAGTATGTCACTACAGGCTGGGCTTTGAGGTGTTAAAAGTCCATGCCAAGCTCAGTGTCTCTTTGCTTGTGGATCAGTATGTAGCTCTCAGCTAACTCTCCAGCACCATGCCTACAAATGCCTGCTGCTATGTTTCCCACCATGATGATATAGAAATAAACCTGTATAAGAAAGCTCCCCCTCAGTTAAATGCTTTCTTTTATAAAAGTTGCTTTGGTCATGGTGTCTCTTCACAGAAACAAAACATTGACTAAGACACAAGGCTACATTGTGAGATACTGTCTCAAAGAAACAAAGAAAAGGAAAAAGGAAATGATCTCAAAGGTTATTAAATGTACATGGTTAAGTAACCTATGGTCCCAACAATTCATGTAATAGAATATCATGTAGTCATTCTTTTTTGTTGTTTTGTTTTTTGAGATAGAGCCTATGTTACCTTGGCTATCCTTAAATTCCCTACATAGACCAGGTTGAACTCAAACTCATAGAGATCCACCTGCCTCTGTCTCTGCCTCCTGAGTGTGGGAGTGAGAGTTGGGGGAGGGTTAAAGGCATATGCAACCATGCCCAGACACATAGTCCTTCTCTCTTACTTAGGAAGTGTTTGAATGATGTAAAATGTTTATTGAATACATAATTAAAAAGAGACAGAATTACATATATTACATATGGTATAATTTCTAATACATAAAGATAAAAATCAGGCAACAGATAAGGAATATACATTAAAATGATAATTAAAGGATTATATTCAACTTCTTTTTTTTTTTTTTTTTTTTTGGTTTTTTTGAGACAGGGTTTCTCTGCGTAGCTTTGCGCCTTTCCTGGAACTCACTTGGTAGCCCAGGCTGGCCTCGAACTCGCAGAGATCCGCCTGCCTCTGCCTCCCGAGTGCTGGGATTAAAGGCGTGCGCCACCACCGCCCGGCATATTCAACTTCTTAACTTTTATGTACTTTAATTTTTTTCAGATGGTAGAACACATTATTTTTCCCACTGGTGTATATTAGTTTTCCCATTGGTGTATATTCATTGTACATAGTACTGTGTTACACAAGGGTATTTTCATACATGTACATAATGCAGTTTGAACATATTCATCACACAGTCCTCTACCTTCTCCTTTTCCTCCTCTCTCTCATTAGTTATTTTTGTTCCTATAGACCAGGTGTGTTCAGCCTTTTCACACTATGACATGATGTTATCTACTAACATTCACAATGAAGAATTGTACAACTGAATTTCAAAATAAATGCAAAAAAAACCCCTCCATAATGTTTTAAGTAAATTTGTGATTTTGTGCTAGGACACACATATCTATATTTGGTTGCATGTAGTTTGCAGGCTGTAGGTTGGACCTAGACTAGTGGTTGTCAACTTTTCTAATGCTTTGATCCTTTAATATAGTTCCTCATGCTGTGGTGATCCCCAACCATAAAATTATTTTTGTTGCTACTTCATAACTCTAATCTCACCATGGTTATGAACTGTAATGTAAATATCTGTGTTTTCTGATAGTCTTAGGTGACCCTGTGAAAGAGTCATTATACTTCCCCAAGAGGTCTTGACCCACAGGTTGTGTACCTCTGGCCTAGCCTGTTTAACTTTCATACCATATGTACATATATTATTTTTATAATCAGAAGCAAACTAAATATATAGAATTTTTGTAATTCCATTGTCCTTAACTTACCATAATATTGTCTTCAACTTCTGCTCTTATATATGGTCCCAACAACCCCAAATGTTCATTTAGTTCTCCCCGGTACAAGGGTTGACTAAAGGAGCCATCAGTAAATTCTTGAAAAACTACTTTCTTGAACTGAGGTGCATTGCCACTTTGATGCCTGGAGAAAAAGCAGAAGAAAAGCAGTACTTTGATAGACCCACGAGGAAGGATGCCTCACACTTTTGCTTTCCCTGTATTTGAGATATGCTTAATAAAATTGATGATAGATGGTAAATGCAATGGTGTAGGGAGGAAAGAAAGAGATATGAAAGATAATTTTCAGGAGTGAAGGAGGTGGCTCAATTGGTAGAGTGCTTACCTAGCATGCCAGAAGCCCTGGGTTCCATTTCCGGTACAGCATAAACTGGGTATGGTGGCTGTAACTCCAGCACCCAGAAGGCTGAAGCAGAAGAATCACTACAAGCTTGATCTACACAGCAAATTTGAGAATAGCCTTAGGTACCTAAGTCCCTTTTACAAGAAAAAAAATAATCTTCAGGTTTCTAGTTTGAACAAGTAAGTGTATGGTGATGCAGTTTTTCAAGATGGATAGTGCTTGAGGAGTAGGTTTTGGTTTTGGTTATACACAACACTATGTGTACTGAATTGGCAAATGCCAAATATTTAGAAGTCAGCAGTTTACAAAAATTTATGTCATTATTTTATTAGATAGCTAAGAAATAATTTGCATGGTTGTAGTGGTTTGAAAGAAAATGGCCCCTAAAGGGAGTGGCACTATTAGGAAGTGTGGCCTTGTTGGAGTAGATGTGCCCTTATTGGAGAAAGTGTGCTGTGGGACAGTCTGTATGTCAAATTGCTCTGATTGGTCAATAAATAAAACACTGATTGGCCAGTGGCCAGGCAGGAAGTAGGTGGGACAAGGAGAGAGGAGAATTATGGGAAGCAGAAGGCGGAGGCAGAGAGACACTGCAGCCGCCGCCATGACCAGCAGCATGTGAAGACGCCAGTAAGCCACCAGCCATGTGGCAAGGTACAGATTTGTGGAAATGGATTAATTTAAGATATAAGAACAGTTAGCAAGAAGCCTGCCACGGCTATACAGTTTATAAGCAATATAAGTCTCTGTGTTTACTTGGTTGGGTCTGAGCAGCTGTGGGACTGGTGGGTGACAAAGATTTGTCCTGACTGTGGGCAAGGCAGGAAAAATCTAGCTACAAAAGTGTGTCACTGTTGGGGTGGGCTTTGAGACCTATGCTTAAGCTACATCCAGTGTTACAGTTCACTTCCTGCTGCCTGCTGATCAAGATGTAGAACTGTCAGCTCCTTCTCCAGCACCTTGCTTGCCTGCATGCCACTATGCTCCCTGCCATGATAATAGACTAAACTTCTGAAACTGTAAGCTAGCCTCAATTAAATGTTTTCCTTTATAAAGTTGCCATGGTCATGGTGCCTTTTCACAGCAATTGAATCTCTAGCCAAAATAATGGATAGCCACTCCATCTCCTTTGAAATATTCTCTTAGGACTTTATTTACTTATTTATTTGTTTGTTTGTTTACTTATTTATTTAAATTCCCTAAAAGCAGGGGGTTTTGTCTATTTTGTCTACTGCTTCATTCCCAGTAGTTGGAACAGTATCTAATACAAGGCACATATTCACAATTTATAATGGAATGTTGAATAAATGTAGGCCTCAAAAAAACCCCAAATATAAGAGATACAAGTTTCTATTCTTTGGATCTCTTTTAAAAATTTAAAAATAACAGCTTAAAATTCTGAACTGAAACATACACATAAATGTCTTTCATTGAGAAATGCAGACATCTCCCAGAAAACTATATATCCCTTTCTACTCATACCCTGCTATCTCTCCACTAAAGGTAACCACTCTTCTGATATTTATAATAATCTTATTTCTTTGCTTTTCTATAAATGTATCTCTTCTAATCATACTTTCTTAAAAATTGTTCAGTTTTGCTTGTTTTTTAACTATATAAGGTGCAACAGTATACATATCCTTGTTTTTCTTTCACTAAGCATTATAATTGAGACATTCATCTATGTTGTAGTTATAGCTTATGTATTCTCTGTTATTCACTGTTGTATTCCATAAGATTAACATACTCCAATTATGGGCATATGAGTTATTATTAAATTTGGGACTTGCAAATAGTCCTGCAAATGAACCTTCTGGCATGTCTTTAGTGAACAAATACATGTATTTCCTTTGGTCACACATGCAGGAACTGAATTGCTGACAGGCATATTTTAGGCTTTGTAGATACTGCTACACTGCTTTCTAAATCAGCTGGTTTATTTTCCATTTTTAACAACAATAAAATGTGGAAGTTCCATTTGCTTCAAATTTCCAAAACACTTGACCACACTTTTACATTTCATTCATTCTGGTGGTTGCACAATAGTGTCTCATTGTGGTTTTATTTTACATTTCCATGATCAATAAAGTGGTGTGTTTTTCCATTCTATAGTTAATATCCTCATTCTTTTGGCATACTTTTTGATGCAAAACATCAAGTTCATAATTTTATTCTTTTTAATTATTTTTAAAGATTTCTTTATATTTATGTACATATATGTCCATGTGTGTATGTTATATGCATATCAGTGTCCATGGAGGTCAGGATAGGCTGTCAGAACTCCTGAAACTGGAGTCACAGGCAGTTGTGAGCTGCCATTTGGGTCATAGGAACCAAACTCAGGTCCTCTGCAAAAGCAGCAAGTGCTCATAAATGCTAAGCCATCTCTCCAGCTCCAAGTTCATAATTTTAAAGCAGTGAAATGGATATTACATTGGCTAATTCTTCATGTATCTTGAGTTAATCATTTTTATTTTCCCACCCTGAGATTAATAAATCCTGTTTTCTTTTTTCTTAGATGTTTGTGACTTTATCTGTTCATCTAATGGCTTTGCTCCAAGTGCTTGTTGAGGTAGAATTTTTCCTTATTGACTCTGATGGAAGCATTTTGATGTATTCTGATGTAAGGAGTCAGTTCATTCAGGTAATTTTTCAGTTTTTGTGATAGCACTTCATTCTGTAAACTTCCATTTAGATTAACTGCAGGCTTATATCCATCTAGAAAGGCAAGTCTATTTTATTAAGGCTATATAATAGTTCTTCTGAACCAGCTCATAGAGATATAGAGACAGACAGTAATCAGTTTAGGTGGGGTGTGGAGAACTTAGTCCACCTCCATGAGACATCATCAAGTCTCAGCCTGATGGAGAAGCCTGTGATTTTCTTGTTATTATGTAGTGTTTTGTAATCTGATTTTATGCCCAGTCATCCTCACCTTTCCATTTCACTATATTTTTTTTTTATCTTGTCTAACATTTGAGTACATTTCAAAAATTTGTTTTATGAAAACATATAATGAACAAGATCCTCTGATGGATCAGATCTGAATATGAGGGAAAAGAGGAGTCAGGAATTACTTCAAAATTTGAGGTCTAAATAAATGAAATGAAGGAATGGCCATTAATAACATGATTAGGAGCTGGATAAATGGCTCAGCAATTTAGAATACTTGTTGTTCTTGCAGAGGACCCAAGTTTAAGTCTCTTCCCTAGCACAACCTCCTTTGGCTCTACTAAAATTAAATTATTCATTTTTCTTTTGGATTTCCCATATTTTAGAAAACATCCCTACCTACATCTTCAACTTCTTTACCACACACTTCACTTCTCCCACTTTCAGAGATCTTTCAAAAAAAGATTCCTCTTGCAGCTCATAGGGTTGATGGCACCTAGTAATGCGAAAGGTCACAACAGCATAGAAAAAGCCCCAATAGATACAAACCTATTTTGTAGAACATGAGGAGATGTACTCATCCCATAGTCCCAGAGCCGCTCCACAGCTGCAATAAAATAGTGCCGTGTCTTCTGTTGAAAGCTGCGGGGATCCTGCTTTATATTTTCACCATAAATGTCAAAATCCTCATTTGTTTCAACAGTGATGGAATCATCATAGTCAGTTGCTTCTTGTTCTGACTCAAGAGCATTAAGTTCCCTTTGATGGCGTTTCAAGTGTGGTGGATTTTGAGAGCACAACCTTTGAATCTGACCTTGCTTTACCCAAGAGGCTTCTCTTTGGGGCCAATTTTGTTTCTCATTTCCCACTACTGAATGATTATTTTCATGAGGGTTCAGAGACAAAATAATGTCCTCTCTCTTAGTGGATGTAATTTCTGGTGACTTCTGTTTGGGTTTCCACTTATCTTTTGGCATCTGTGCAGCATCATGGTCCAGCAGTTTAGAGAGAATCTTTTCAGAGCTCTCGCTTGTTTCTTTCAATCTTTCCTCATGTCTCTTTGCTTTATTGGATTTAACAATTTGCTGCTTGTCAAGCTCTGTTTCTTTTAGTGGGAGTCTGAATTGTCCCAAAGCTCGTTTACTACGTCGAGTAATATTATTCTTTTGGCTTGTATAGTTCTTTACCATTTCTCTGGTTTTATTTACCAAACCTTCTGAATTTATTTCCCCGTCCTCCTCTTTTTTAAAGAAATGGGCCATGTGACTCTCTACTGTATTTGTTGAGTTGTTTATTGAGCTGATATCTTGAAGTATTGAAGTATTTCTAGTACCTAGAAAGAAAATGTCTTTCAGGGAGTTCTTAGAGCCAGTTGCTATGTGCACCTGAGGCAAAACTACTTTCTCTTTGATTGATGCTTCCTTCTCTATCTCTTCCTGAATATCTTTTTCTTGATTGTACATATTTTCTTGTACATTAGCCAAGGTGGTAAGAAATATGCTCATGTTGCTTGGAAAAACCCTGTGTTTGAGTCCTGTGTCCTTTGTGAATTCATCCTGTTCTACTATCACTTTATTCTTCTCTGACAAGAAAGTCTGATTTTTCACAGACTTTTCTAAAATTAAAGATACTAATTGCTTTGGACTGGGCCCTTTCTTAGAGTTCAAGGAGTTGTTTCCATTGGTCCGTTTCATCCAATTTGCTGATTCTGGCAAGAATAGCATTTTGAAAAATGGCATGATTGTATTTTCTGTATCTCGGGGAACAGGATCCTCATCTTTTTTAGGAAATATTTCTTTAGTTTTTGATAAGTCAGATCTATTCAGCATATGGTTCAGTCTCAAATATGTAGTATTTTTGCCTGAAAGTGTGCCATCATGAATCAAAGATGTTAATTCTTGAATTTCACTATTGATTTTTAATACAGTATCCTGCAAGATTGCTGTAATAGTCTCACTTGATGTTGGACTGTCAATGTGAGCTTTTCCATTAGTTGTTGAATGATTATATGTCTTGTTTGTTTTCATCAAAGAGATATTATCTTTGAATAAGGTATTATCTTTGTCTAACAAAGCAATTCCATAAAAGCTCTTCTCTTTGAGTAATCTATCATTCTCCATTGATGATATATTATCTCTTAGTGAATTTTCTTGATTAGTCATTAAAGTTGCATCCAACAAGTTGGAATCACTATTTCTTTCACTAATGTTCAGAGGTACATGAGACCCAATAAGGGGATGTAATTTTTTACTAAATGCAGTGGTGCCTAATTTACTAATAAAGTGAACTGGCATATCTGGAGATCCTGAATAATCTATCTTTTCAGAAATTGCTGTCAAATTGTCTGACAGAATTGTTGTGGTCATTAGATTATTTGGCAAACCAGAAACTTGCAAATCAAGTTTCTTCCACTTTACTTCTATAGTTGTCTCCAAATTTTTATTTGATCTTAACTGGAGGCCTGACTCAGGAGTAAATACTATTTTGCCACTTTGATGGAGTTCTGGCCTGACTTGGACAACTTTAGATGGGCCTTCATTGTTGTATATTGCATCAAGGGAATGATCATCAGGAATAGCCTCATAGATGGCTTGTTGGTTATCTGATAAGGATAAGCCATGTGGAGTAGGTTGACTCTGTTCCAAGAGCATCAATAAGTCACTAGAGGAGACACTTTGTATTTTAAGCATCTCTGCTGTCTCTCCAAACTGAGGCTCAATCTTCTCTATATAATTTTTTAGAATTGGGGTGGCTTTGAATTTCTTTTTCCTAGTGTTAGGATGATTTGAATTCTGGAAAAAGCTTCTGGGTGCAATGACATTGTTGTCATTCACCAACTGTGTTGGAATATCTTCATATATTTCTCCATAATAATCACTAGTGCTCTTGTCACAACTAGAAACTTTCAGCAAGGCTGTCATACCTCTCTCCCGAAAGTCAGAATTATGACATCCCAAGACCCATAGACCTGAAAATGAGAAAGAATAAAACCACGGTTACTCAGAACCCAGGTTCTAGGGAAGTTCTGTATCAGGGGTTCTCTCTTATTCCTAGACAAATGAAGAAATGCTAGTCCAGACTATTACATCATAGGTTATTGGGTCAAATTCTCAACATCTAAAATAATTCCACAATTGTGGTAAAATTCATTATTGCATTGCTGCTACTATACTATGGATATTTCTGATCACAAGAAAAGGATATTGAGGACCATTGAGAGAGCTCAGTGGGTAAAAGTGCTTGCTGCCAAGCCTGATGACCTGAATGCAATCCTTAGAATCCACATAGTAAAAGGACAGAATTGAGTCCTGTGGTTGTCCTCTTACCTCTACACTTGTGCTATGGCATATGTGCCCAAACACATACACACACAGTAAAGTAATAAATGTAATAAAAATATTTGCAATGTTCAATTATGTAACATTTAACTATTTCTAATGTAGATATTCTCAAAAAGTGATTATAGATTTTTTTTCCCAACAAAATAGTGGAGTACTGATCAGTTATAGAAACCAGGAACAAGGTTTTAATTCTGAGGTGGAGAAAAGTCCCAAGCTGATAATTCAGACTCAGGTCTAGAAAGAATGAGCCCAGAGTTGAGGACATTCAGAGTATAATATATTATGCTTTCACTCTCTACAGTGTGTGTTTATTTGCGCATGCACATGCCATGATGTATGTTTGTAGGTCAGAGGACAACCTTGGGTGTCAATACATACCTTGCCTCCCACCTTGTTTGAGACAGGGTCTGCCTGTTTTCCTTTGTATAGGCCAGGCTAGATGGCCTGCAAGCTTCTGAGGATTCTCCTGTCTTGAATTCCTACCTTGTTGTAGGAGCACCGGGATTATGGACATATGCTACTATGCCTGGCGTTTTCCATGGGTTCTTTCTGGTGATCTATGACAAGTATTTTTTATCACAGATCTATCTCCCTGCTCCAAAGTATCTATTATTTAAAATACTGGATTGATATGTAAGAACTAATAATAATGTTCTTTTTCATTTATATTTAGTCATATTTGTAATGCAAGAAGATGGCTGTATTACAAAAGTTCAGGCAATGTACTTTAACTAAAGACAAAAGTCTCTTCCTCTCTTCCCACTTCTCTCTTATTTTGAGACTGTGCCTGTGTAAGCCCTGGCTGATCTGAAACTCACTGTGTAAACCAGGCTGGCTTCAAACTCAGATATCTGACCCCCTCTGTCTCCCGAATGCAGATTTAAAGGAAGGCAGTAACATGCTCCACCCTTAACCAAAGTATCTCTGGATTAGTATTCTAAATCCATGTTAAAAAAAACTTGTATGTCTGTAATCTCAGAGGGTTGGGATGTAGAGACAAGCAGATCCCTGGTTAATCTATGAACTCCAAGTTCAATAAGAGGCTGTGTCTCAAAAAACAAGGTGGAAATGAGAAGGAAAACCTTATTGGATCTGGAAGACTTATTCTTTGACTAAGAGTATTCATCTAATGGTGGTTTTATAACTGGCTTGGAATAAACTTTGTGAACCAGATGCAAAAACTGAATATTATGAATATTATATGAAATGAAATAAATTTTATAAGTTAACTAAACTGGAAAACTAGGAGGGGAAACAGTAAAAACCAATAAAACAAACAAAAACAATATACATATAGATAACTATAACTCTACAAGGAGAAGAGGGTCAGAAAAAGTACTTTAAAGAGGTAGACAAGTATTTCTCAAAATCGATGAGACACCAAATTACATAATGAGGTAAGAGAACACCACATAAAATAAACTAACCCCCCTCTCCTCTCTCTCTTTCTCTCTCCCTCTCTCCCTCCATCTCCAAGCATAGAAACATAATATTCAAACTATTGAAAATGAAAATAAGGAAAAATGCTTGAAGGTGTACAGATTAAAATAGAGAGCCTACAAAGATATCAGTAAATGAGAACCAAAGATAGTGTTTTCTTAGAAGCCAGAAAAAAAACAGTATTTCAGGAGCAAAGTAACCAACCAACTTCATGGTTGGTACTGGAAGATCTACTAAGTCAAGTTTTAGAAATTATTAGCAAGCTAGAGCCCACTGCTACCATTTAGCAAACATACTTAAAATTATGACTCATGACAGATAAAGAAGTCTTTTTTATTTATTTTTTACAGGAAAGGCTAATTTGCTGCTTTTTTGTTTGTTTTTCAATGTTAAGAATTAAATACAGTAACTTATGTGTAGTAGGCAAGCACTGTAACACTAAGCAACAATACTGAGTTGGTACTGTCATATATTACCAATGCCTACAGTGCCCGGCATATAGAAGATCCTTAATAAATGTTTTAAAAGAATGAATGAAATGTACATTTGAAAGTATTATACATAAAGATTATATACAAAGGTACATATAGCAGTATTATTTATACATACTAATTAAACTTAGAAGAAATATCTTATTTATGTTTATGTGGTTGTCTTTATTGTCAATATCTCAACCAAGTTCTAAGTTCTTTGTTCCTCATTATAATACTTTCCAATCACCAAAGTCACAAATCAAAGTCACTTGAAATATTTACTACCTGTCCAAATACAAGGTAAAAGAACAATGAAACATTCACAGTTGTTAGTGAAATGATAATATAAATAGCGAACCTGGGTTTTCCATCGACATAAAGACAGTTTCTCCTGAGAATGGAAACAGGGTAAGTGTATCTTCATAGACCGTTTTGTGTTTGAAGGTATATCCAGAGAAGAAGATAGATAAGAAGTCTGTCTGTGCTCCAACACTGAGAATGTACCAGTATGCCACCTCATGCAAACAAACTGACAACTGCAAGCTACCAAAAACATAGCCATTGATGCCTACAAAAGAAATGTAGAACAAGAGATTCAGCTATATCTGGATTTATTATTTTGGATTATGATTGTTAGGATACAATTAGAAAATTATTACATGTTATGATCATTACCTTACCACAGAAAATAATTATCAATCAGGTAGATGGTTAATATTTAATCACCCAACTCCAATCCCAAAGTAAGGAAAGAGAGAGAGTCACATAAAGAGAGATTTGGATGTACACTATGTAAAGTTTGATGAGGAACAAAGCATTTATAAAATCTCAAAGCATTTTCCTATAAATTATTAGTTGCATTGAAAAAAAGTAACTTATATAGATAAACTCAAAACAAATAATCAATGTTAGCATTGTATAATGCTCCAGATTCAAAGAAACAAAAGACTAAATACTAAATACTAGGTCTCTGTATCATATGAAGAAAATGCAGTGGCAGTCACAACTAAAATATAGACACCAAAATGTATCATATCAGTGTGAAGTGTCCAGAATTTCATGATACTGGTTATCACAACACATATCTTTATTCAAAGGAAATATATGATGAGTTATTAAAAACAATAGGGGATGATACCTCCAACCTATTCTCAAGTGGAAAATAATTAGTAAGAGTAGAGTGCCAACTCCAGAGAATTGTTCTCAGACCTTCACAAATGTACTGTGGAATCATCATGCCAGCACACATTCAATCTCCCCGTCTCTGTCACTTTCTTTCTTTCTTTTCTCTCATACACACATACACACAAAATAAAATTTAAAATGAATCATTTTTAAAGATTTTTATTTCTACCTATATTTGTGTGGGGGTGTATGTGTGCACAATGTGTACATGATTGCAGCTGCCTGAAGAGGATGTCAGATTCCCTGGAGCTGGAATTACAGACAGTTGTGAGCTGCCCAATGTGGGTGCTGGGACTCAAACTCTTGGGTCCTCTGAAAGCAGAACACCATCTTAACTATTGAGCAATTGTTTTTGTTAGCTTTAATTGTCAACCTGACAAAGTCGATAGTCATCCAAGAGGAGAATCCTCAATTGAGGAATTGCCTAGCTCAGGTTGGTTTGTGGGTGTGATGGCTATTCTTGCTTGTCAACTTGACTACATCTGGAATTAACTAAAACCCAGGAGGCTGGATACACCTGTAAGGGATTTTTTTCTTAAATTATTTGAAATGGAAAGACCCACTTTTAATCTAGATCTTCTAAGGTATCTTTTGAAATGTGAAGATCTACCTTTAATCTGGGCCACACCTTCTGTTGGCAGCCTATATAAAGGACATGGAAAAAGGAAGCTCTTCACTGGCATCAGAGTCTACTTCTTTGGGATTGTGGTATATACTGAAGACCAGATGAGAAATCTAGATTTATGGACTGAACAACTACTAGATTCTTAGATCTTCCCTTGGTAGACAGCCATTGTTTGACTAGCTGGACCACAGCCTGTAAGCCATTCTAATAAATCCCCTTTCTATTTAAAGATTCATTCAATAAGTTCTGTTCTTGTAGAGAACCCTGACTAATACAGTGGGCATATCTGTGAGGGATTGTTTTGATTATGAATTTATGTAAGACGGTCCATTCCACTGTAAGCTGCATGATTCCTCAAGTAGGCAGTCCTAGGATATATAAAAGGCTAGCTATGCATGAGCCAGAGAGTGAGCCAGTGAGGGAGCCAGCAGTCAATGTTCCCCCTTGGCTTCTGTCTTCAGGTTCCTGCTTTGACTTCCATCAGTGGTGGACTGTGGCCTGGAATGTAAGCCAAATAAACCCTATTCTCTCCAAGTTTTTTTTGGTCAGATTGTTTTATCATAGCCACAATATAAAACTAGAATAGCCATCTCTCCAGCTCCCTTAAATGCATTATTAATATAAGCAAATACATCAAACAAATACAAAGTTCAGAAACTGACACAGATATAAGTAGAACTTAAATATATATGAAAAGGGCAGCATCTCAGAAAATAGGTAAAATAATGACCTAGTTGGTAAATGATTATGGAAAATACAACTGTCCATTTGGAAAAATACATTCCACATCATTTTACATCATTTATAAAAGTAGCTTTCACATGGATTAATACATGTCCTTTGTGAACTATGAACAACTGGAGGTGGGGGAATGTTACAACATTAGCCTGCTAGAGATAACAATATACTATAGAGTAGGAGTCTGAAGCCACACAAACATATTTCTCCACAGCTCTCAAGTATATATATATATATATATATGAGAGAGAGAGAGAGAGCGATTCATTTTATAACCAAGAACCTTAATACACCAGTTTTACTTTTTTAGACTCTATGTAACCATCTCTCTCTCTTGTTTTAAACATTGTCTCTATTAAAATAATATACTTTCACTGTCCAGACAGGTGCTTACCCTAATATTTGAAATGAGCTGTAGTAGGAAATAGAGAAGTGATGGATAGAAAAATAAAATCATAGATATCTAGTTTATACTACACTAAGGAAATAAATAAAATGCAATGTTCTGTCAGGTGGGGGAAAAATCAACAACAAAATCATGACCTTGGAATGAAGAGGAAGAAAAAAAATTATGTGTCATCTAAATTAAATACTATGAATCAGACTTTTGACAAAATAATCCATGTCTCTGAGTATATGAAAAATGTAAATGTAATTGAAGGGACTATAAAATGTGGTGATATATTGTTTGTGATCTAATAAATAAAACTTGCCTGGATCAGAGGACAGAGCCAGCCACAGAGTTAGCCACAGAGGTCAGGCAATGGTGGTGCACACCTTTAACCTTAATCTCAAGAGACAGAGATCCATCTGGATCTCTGTGAGTTCAAAGCTACCCTGGACGACTCGAGATTGACTCAGTCTAGGAGAGAAACAGAGCTAGGCAGTGGTGGCATACACCTTTAATTCCAGCACTTGGGATCACACACCTTTAATCCTAGCACTAGGAAATTTGAGACAGGAAGTGATATAGCTGGGCAGAGAAAGAAATATAAGGTGAGAGGAGGCGGGAACTCACACTTTTTTCAGGCAGAGGAGTTGGTGAGGCAATAGGTGGTAGCTGTGGCTGCTCTACTTCTCTGATTTTTCAACTTTCACCCTGATATCTGGCTCCAATTTTTTTTATGAGACCATTTAGGATTCATGCAACATCAAGCACCAAAAGTTTTAGAAGAAGGGAGAATAAAGTACTATGGCTCTAGAATATAATAGGCAACTATTATCAGAAATTCAAATTAAATGTGAGGCACAGCTCAACTTGAAGCTAAGGACTGACATTAGGAGATAAGGGGCATAGAATTCTGATAGAAGGCACATAGTGAAAGGTGAGTATAACCTACAACATAACTTTTAAAGGTTCTGTTCTTAGGCAGCTTTTCCAAGATTTGGTTAGGAATTATAGTTACATTATATGAAATAGACAGGGTGATATGTGCTTATTCCATCCCATTAGGAATCAGGACTTCAAAAGCATATATTTAAAATTTTAATATGGGGGAGAAAGTGGGGGCAGGAGGGGGGAGAACAAGGTAATCCATGGCTGATATTAAAATTAAATTAAATTATAAAATTAAAAAAACTCAAAAAATTTAATATGTAAGGTAGTCTTCAAAAGAACTATTAGTGTTACCTACTAGTACTGTATGACAGTCCCCTTTTACCCATACCCATTAGTAATAATGGTCTCCTGCTTTTGCAATTTGATAGGTATGCCACGTTATCTGTCTCACTGATAGAATCCTTTCCTAGTAGTATAGTAAGATTAAATTTGTACTATGTTTTAGCTATTCAGATATGCATTTATATATAAAAATACACATGAATAATTTATATGCTGAATTGTGTCCCCCCAATTTTCATGTTGATGCTTAAAATTCCAATACTTTCAAATGTGACTGTATTTGGAAATAGGTCTTTAAAGAGAAAATTAGTTCAAATAAGGTTATTAGTGTAGATCCTAAGTTCTTTATAAGAAGAGATGGATACAATACAGAAAGACAGGTACAGAAAGAAGATCATGCAAGGGTATAGGGACAAGACAACATTTAAAAGCTAAAGAGAGACTGAAGAAGAAGCTAAGTCTTCTGACACTTTGATCTCAGACAGTGAAGAGATAAATCTAACATTTTAGAAAGGTTAATACCATGTATGTAGTATATGATTATATAATAATAAGAAAATATTTGGGTCCCCAGGAACCACCACCCAACTCTGCCCCAGTTGCTGGCCAGCAGAGAAAGCTCCTGTGGGAAGCCTCCCTCACTGAAACCCCCCATCGGACCCTGCAATCTACAAGTTCCACACCCTGCCCTGATACCCACCTGCCTATGATCCCAGTAACTTCCTGAGGCATAGAAACCAAACTGCCAGCTCTCATTGGACCAAGAGGTGAGTGAATCATCTCACACCCAGAGAGTCCTGCCCCTGGGACCCAGGCCCTGAGACACAGCCTGCCCCTGGGAACTCCTACCTAACTCTACCCCAGTTGCCAGCCAGCAGGAAAACTCCTATGGGAAGCCCCCCCCCCCCAAAAATCCCATTGTACCCTGCAATCTACAAGTTCCACACCCTGCCCTGATACCCACCTGCCTGTGACTCCAGTAACTTCCTGAGGCACGGAAACCAAACCACCACCTCTCATTGGAACAAGAGCTCACATTGGACCAAGAGTGGCTTTCTGAGATGTAAAATCTACCAACTCTCATTGGACCAAGAGAGGCTTCCTGAGACACAGAATCTGTTAGCTCTGACTGGACCAAAAGCCCTGATAAGACCAGGAGCAGCTCTGTGATTCAAAGAATCAATTAGCTTGGGTTAGGCCAAGAGCAGCTCCCTGAGATACAGAATCTCCCAGCTCTAATTAGATCAAGAGACCAGATTGGACTCAGAGAGGCCCCCTGAGACACAGACACAACAAGCACAGAGTGGACCAATAGCAACTCGCTCAGATACAGGCACCTCTTATACCTATTAGAGGAGGAGATGGGCAGACATCAAGGCAAAAATACATACAACAAAAA